TAAGTAGCTTAATAAAAACAAATAAAATTATGTTGTTTTAGTCTATATACAAACGCAATCTTTCATAGTTTTGTTGTTTTATAAAAGTACTAATTATATCTCTACGTTTTCAAACTATTTAATTATTATGTAGAAAATAATTTTTAATCGCATTTCCAAAACGAAATCGAACATTTCCGTCGTATTTCCAATTTAAGATTTATAGGAAGTGAGTTTCCGTCGTATTTCTGAAACGAAATTAAAGTTTCTATCGAGTTTCCAAATTAAAATATTTTAAAAAACGCGATTTTAGATTAAAATTTATTAAAAAACGCGTTTTCATGGAATTTGCAAGAGTTTTGGTTTTCAAAACGTTTCTGAAACAATTCTTGAACGGAGTTTCGATGAAAAGCGATTATATATTTTTGTTTGGTCGAAATCGAAAACCATTAGTTATTCTCTAAAACTTAGATAATTTTATCCACCGAACCTTTGACTCCACCACCATTATCCTCGTGGGCGACTCGATCGTACTCGAGCAAACTCACAGAAGCCAAGCCATCTTGACTCAGACTATTCAACCGATCATAGAGAGCGATTCCAGTCGGCGATGAAGACTATCACTGAGGCAGAATCGGATCTCGGGAAAACGACACCAGAGAGCTTTGTGATTGGGATCTCAGCTTAAAATCTCCCACCGGAGTTGTAATCTCCTTTGGGAGTGAGATGTCAGGCGGAATTTCCGACGTGACCGTTGAGCCTCTCAGTATACACAGCTCACACGTAGAGGTGGGTATTTCCGTAATATCACAAGACCCGACGTCCTTCTGACACAGCCATAGTCGCCGACGTCGTGTTCATGCGTAATTTCACCGGAGAGGATATAGGATTAGCCGGGAATTTCTCCGGAATCGGAGAGACTCTGCTCTGTTCACGTCGATCTGCCTCACGGATATTCATTTGCAGACAAGCTCAGAATCTTGGGTATTCTCCAGCGTCAGGGCTCATGAGTTCTCCATCGTCCTCGTGCTTCGGCGGTGGTAGCATATACGGCGGAGTTACGGTGAGGTGGGAGTTTGGCTACGATACGACTGAATTTTCAATTTTATTTTATCAGTTCATAAAATTTGTTGTCAAGAGGAAGAAATCAAATCACTCAGGACATCGATTTCTTCACAGCTCAAAGCTTTGGAAGAGAATCTCGATTCCGACGGTGATTCTTTTGCCATTTCGTAGTAGAGATGAACCAGAGAGAGAGAAAGAGAATCGTATGGTGCATCAATGGTGAATGAGATGATTCACGAGGAAGAATCCAAGTGTGCTACTGTTGAGATGACTACATCACAGATTCAAGTTGAGCCCCCGTAATCAAGTGCACAAACGGAGTCACCTGATTCAATTCAGGTTTGGAATTCGAAGCCAAAAGCAACGGAGTCAATAACAGATTCTACTTTTACCCTGTCTTTTGTTGTGACCTGGAACCAAGCCTTCAGTTACACATAGAATCATTCGATATGTTTGCGAGGAGGATTTCCACTCTGGTTTTGGCTATGTTTTGATCATCAAAAGGACAAACGGGAACAGATTTTAATGATAAGCCAGGAAACTGAGTAGTGACTTGCCACCATCTGGACATCATATGGTAAAAGGAAGAAGAACCAGGGACAACAAGGCTGAGAAATTGGTTTATGGGAGCAGAAAGACAAAGTTTTTGAGCTGTTACATACTGCAAAGAAGCAACCTGTTCCTGTGTTTTCCAACACGTTTCTGATGAAAGTTGTAAATCAGTTTTGAGAAGCTGCAGTACATTCTTCAAAACAGAAGGAATATCCAGTCTTTGCCATGCTCCAAAAACGCAATCTGCAGAGAAGCAGGGTACAAAACACTTTGATGCTTCAATATTGGATTGGTTAGTGACACGAGCAACACAGCTCATGCATTTGACTGGATTGTCTGGTCTTTGCCATGTTCCAAAAAACGCAATATGCAAAGTTTTTTGTGCTGTTTGTCTGGTCAATCCGCAGTCCAAGAAAGGGCATTTTAGTGTGGGGAATGGAGCTGGATTCCGGAGCTGATGATGTTACCACTGACATTTTGCACTTCAGAMTCTTAATGTTRCTCCACAACTTGCACCAGATATGGAGGTTAACTCAATGAATGAGCAGATTCTTAACACACTATTGGAGCAGTCACTAGAGCAAAGTCATAGCTTGTTGTTTTCTGCAGCAATGTTCTGAGGGCTCAGAGATCTCACGAACAAGGCTGCGAAAAGGCTGGTAGTTTCAGGTCTTCCGACGTGGGTTTTGTGAATTTTCAACTAGGAAGGAGGGTTGTCTTTGGATTGGTTTCTGGAACGGTAACTGCAGAGATGCTGCGTTGTTCCATCGTTGATGAGGAAACGAATGCTGAGGAACAGGAAAATCACACATGTTGGAAAGGGTCTATGATGGTGCTGGTGCAAAACTGTTTGCTGCTGATTCAACAAATGAGGAGAAGCAGGACTATCAAATTTTACAAGCCCTGGAGTTGATATTTTGAGCCGTTATATGGTAATGGCAGATGTTATATCTGCAAGCATATTCAGTGAAATGGTGGAGGAAAATGCGATACGAAGTTAAAGAGACCACATTGGTACTGGAACTGCTCATCTGCTTCACGAGATTTTCAGTGTTAAGAACTTCCCTTTTAAAGTTGACGACGAAACCGCTGCTTCGCTGAGAAAGTTGTACATCACGTACTAAATCCCGAACTAGACCGAATTGAAAGTCGGCTTTTCTTATTAAGCTTAAATAATTGAGTTGTAACTAGCTTAATATTTGGATTGAATATTCAGTGTTAAATGCTATCTTTGAGCACATATCATAGATATAAAAATAACAATGGTTCCATTACATACGTTTCTCAATAAATTATCCAAAGGTAAATTCTTAAGAACAGATGCCTAAATTGTCTTTCTCTTCAACCCTTTTTCCTCGAGACCAAACTTAAAATAGTCATCAGGAAACTGAGAAAGAACACCCATTATTGTGAAAAAAAGTGAGAAAATCTCAAAAGGAAGAAAAAGAGATATGATGATAATGAAAAGAGCCGAGCAAAAAGAGAACGATGAACGAATTTAGGGATTTTGACTTTTTTATACATTAATTAAATCAAAAATAAGGGAAAAGTATTTTAAATTTATAGGCCCAATGGGCTTTCTTTTCATAAGTCGAAACGCATCTCTGTTAAACTCTGGAGACGGGAGTGAGATGTGGATTATCCGGAGGGAGATGAAATGATTCCTTCTATAAACCCACTTCATTGCTTCCGCCATCAGTTTCCCCTATCAAATGCTTTATCTCCCACTCTACCGAATTTGTTGCGTCTTCGGCGATGTGGATTATCCGGCGGAAATCGCCGTCGTGTGGTCACCATGGCCGGCGGAACCGATCACTACTCGACTTTGAATGTCAATCGCAACGCCACCTTGCAGGAGATCAAGAGCGCGTACAGAAAACTCGCTCGCAAGGTTCAATTTTGCCACTATTATTTGTTTTTCTCTTGAATTGAAGTTAAGGGTTTGTAATTGTGGAACAGTGTCATCCAGATATGAACAAGAACCCTGGCGCAGAAGACAAGTTCAAACAGATTAGTGCTGCTTACGAGGTAACACAGTCTTTTTTTCAAATGCTTAGTTTTGCTGGAATCTGCGTTTTGTTGTAGCTTATGAAAACTGGAAATGGAACATCTTTGTAGGTATTATCTGATGAGGAGAAGAGGTCTGTGTATGATCGATTTGGGGAAGCTGGTTTAGAAGGAGGCTTTAATGGATCACAGGATACTTCACAAGGGGTAATAAGTCGTTCATGAAGATATTCTAATGGTATCAGCTTTGAAAAATTGTCTATAAGACCTCCTTGATTGTCTTTTCCATTCCATTCTTCAGGTCGATCCATTTGACTTATATAGTGCATTCTTTGGTGGTTCTGATGGATTCTTTTGGGGAATGGGTCAATCAGGAGGGATGGGTTTTGATTTCATGAATAAGAGAAGCCTAGACCTTGACATTCGGTAAATTTTCTGTCTTTACTTAATTGTTCACGAGCTATATACATACTTTGAAATGGTGTTTTTCCCATGAATTGGCATTAGATTATTGCCTCCAAGTGTGGTGGGCTAAAGCCTATAGCTAGGCTATAGGAATTTAGAGATTTGGGTTATTCCTTTTGTTTGGCTTGAAATTTTTTCTTCTGTTTGCCAGACTGACTGATACGTGGGGGCGTGTGTCTTAGGTATGACCTGCGGTTGAGCTTTGAAGAGTCGGTTTTTGGAGTAAAACGGGAAATCGAGGTTTCTTATTTAGAAACGTGTGATGGTTGTGGAGGAACAGGCGCTAAATCCAGTAATGCCGTTAAACAGTGTAGCAGTTGTGGTGGCAAAGGACGTGTGATGGAAAGTCAGAGAACACCCTTTGGGATCATGTCTCAGGTAACTCGTATTATGATAATTTGCTAATTCATTTCCATTTCCCTTGTCCTGTGCTATACAGATGATAATCTGTCATTTATATAGGTTTCCACTTGCTCCAAATGTGGTGGTGATGGCAAAATCATCACTGATAAGTGTCGAAACTGCACTGGCAACGGGAGACTACAGTCTAGGAAAAAATTGGATGTTGTTGTTCCTCCTGGTGTCAGCGATAGAGCCACAATGAGGATTCAAGGAGAAGGTAATGTGGACAAGAGAAGGTACTGGAGAATCTGCTGTTTTTCTACTTATTTCCTGATATGTAGTACTCTGGTACTTGTTTTCTCAACAAGGTTTCTAATTTCTGCAGTGGACGAGCCGGTGATCTGTTCATCGTGCTTCAAGTTGATGAGAAGCGTGGAATTCAGAGAGAAGGCCTTAATCTATACTCCAAAGTCAGCATCGATTTCACCGATGCAATACTCGGGGCCGTCACAAAGGTGGCTTATAAACTTGTTTGTTGCTTGACGTTACTGGATAGTGAGAACCTTGTAGGCGTGACATCTTCCTTTTTCAGGTGGAAACGGTTGAAGGAACAATGGATCTTCGGATTCCACCAGGAACTCAGCCTGGTGACACTGTGAAATTACGTCGGAAAGGAGTTCCAGACACGGATAGACCATCAATCCGAGGAGACCATTGCTTTGTAGTGAAGGTTTCAATCCCCAAAAACCTTAGGTTTGTGTCACATTGTTATCCTTTTAGCTCTTTATGTGATATTTTTGCTTACTAAAATGCTTGAAACAACTTACTTGAATGGCAGCGAGAGGGAGCGCAAGTTGGTAGAGGAATTCTCGTCACTTAGAAGATCTAGCAGCAGTAATACCGGTACAAAAACGCTCACTGAATTGGAATCCATTGCAAGATTTAACAATATATATATAAAAACTTGAAACTTTATAATCCCCTATTTGTAGAAACTCGTCAAGAGAAGCACAGCTTTGGCTCAGAGCCGAGAAAAGAACCTTCTTTGTGGCATAAAATGAAGAGTTTCATAAGGTAATCTCATGATACCTTGTCAGTTATTCATCAAAGGACACCACACGGCTGTCTTGTCCATGAGTCCTCCTGGTCTGATTTATACATGGTTCCAAATGTCTTGTTTTTTGTAGACCAGAAGATTCAAGAACAAAGTTTGGGACTATGAGCTTGAACTTATCATTGCCACTACGAAGAGTGAAAGAAGCTGAAACTTCTGCAATTCTTCTCTCGTTTTTGGCTCTGTGCGTTATAACCTCGGCCGTTGCATTGATTCAGAAGAAGGGTAATCGTTTGAAACAAAAGAAAGAACCCTAATTTCGTCAATCCAGATGGAGAACTTTGGTTTCAGGTATAACAGAGAGCTTTTACCAGATAACATTGATTCTAGGTTGAAATTGTTTGTCACAGATAAGTAATGATCTTATATGTATGTTCTAGTATCATTTTGTATATGGTTAAGAGTTATGATCAAACGAATGCTAGTACTTGACCAATGGTTGGTTACGTATGCTATACCGGGTTAAACAGTGAGCAAACCTTTTCCATGAAGAGTCATATCTGAACTCTGAAGTCCTTTGATTTTTCTAAAATTGGATTTACGCAATTGGTTGAATTTGATTGCACCAAACCGTATCATAGCTACAATAGTGTAGTGTTTAGGGTAACTTTGTAAAATTTGAGATCGTTAATCGTATTTTTGTTCGCGTGTCATTTAGAAAACATTTTTACGAAATCAAGAAAAGGTTTCCACATCTGTCAAGTCATCATTGCGTCGTAAATGATGCTCAACGCAGCTACTATATTTGCATTATCACTTTACGTATTGATCTTCC